ATATATTAATCTTTGTAAATCGCTAGCTGCACGCTTCACAATGAATGCGTCTAAGGTTTACACTCAGGGTACATTACGGCATGTTTTCTATGTATGACGTTCTCAATATAATTCATAATTCCACGTTTATACTGAACAACGCGTTATGGTTATTGTGTTATCGAGTTACAAACGGTGTACGCACAGAACAGAGAGGCGGAGTCAGCAAAGCTCATTATCATTTAAAGTCATATACACTGAAACGGCGTGCTGAAAACAGAGCTGTTTTTGACCGGGAAAAATAAGTGTTTTCTTACAATACTAATGAGAATGTTAAATTAAAGTATATTACAAACTTTAAATTTAGACCCTAAAGAATCATATTAGCTTGTACAAAAATGGCATTATATGACCCCTTTAAATAATAGTAGGCCAAGCACCGATCCTTGTGGCACGCCGTGTAAGACTGGCGCCAGTTCAGAGCAGATGCCCTTAATGCTGGTGTATTGTTGCCTGTTGGTGAGATAGGATTTAAACCAGGAATACACAGTACCAGCGACGCCAATGAGTTCGGAGAGGCGAGTGGGAGACTGTATCGAAGGCTGCAGAGAGGTCTAGAAGAACTAAGATGCTGATATGAGAAGGTCATTTGTGATTTTGATGAGGGCAGTGTCTGTGCTATGATGTGTCTTGAGACCAGATTGAAATGGCTCGTAGAGGTTGTGCTGTAGCATATGCTGGTTGAGTTGGGAAGCCACAGCTCTTTCCAATAACTTGCATATAAAAGGTAGGTTGGAGATTGGGCGGTGTTAGTTTGGGTCATCTTGGTTCAGGCCTGGTTTTTAAGTGTAGGGATCACCTCGGCAGTTTTAAAGCTGGTGGGGACTACCCCAGAAGACAGCGAGGTGTTGATGAGGTTGACCAGTGTGGGTCCCAGAGTTGGAAGACATGCCTTGACCAAGGCAGTCGGCATTGGATCCTGTTTGCTGGTCGTGGCCTTTGCTTTTGACACTAGCTCAAGAACTTTGACAAGAGTTTGTCAAGCAGCGGTGGAGTGGTTGGGTGAGAGGAGCTGGACAGCTGCCGTTGCTGGTGGAGGGTTTCTTCCTTTTATTGGAAGTAATCCAGGAATCTGGAGCATAGGCCAGCAGCGTCAGATGGTTGAGGAGGGTCAGGTGGGCCGAGGAGGCGGTTGATGGTGGAAAAAAGCTGTTGATGTTGTTGGTTGCCAATGAGTGTAGAGTAATGGTTATTTTACGCCTTGGACTGAGCATCTTTATAGCTCTTAACATGGTTGTTGTAGGATACCTGGTGGACAGTGTGGCCAGACTCTTGACAGTACCTCTCCAGCCTCCGCCCTGTGGCCTTCATGAGGAGTTCAGCAGTGAACCAGGGAGCAGGACAGGAGAAGGGGCAGATCGAGTGATCAACAGAGTCCAGACTACGTGACAGGGCCAGGTTCTAGTGATTAACCAAGTCATCAACTGTGCAGTTTGGGGGATGGCTGATAAGATGGCCTGCAAGAGTGTAGGATAATTTATGTATGCACACTTGTTTGATGTTGATCCTTTTCACACACTTCCTGAAACAGAGAACATGTTTCTGTTCAAATACCCCCCCCCCTCCACCTAACTTTACACTTGGCACAATGCAGTCAGTCAGGTCTTACTCGTGTGTGTGTGTGTGTGTGTGTGCAGAGGAGATGCATGCGGAGATCTGCTACGCTGAGTGTTTGCTGCAGAAAGCCACACTAACATTTGTACAGGTCAGTGACCCGTTTCACTTCAGGCCATTGTGTTTACATCGGCTTGACTAATAACTTGGCAACAGTTTTGTTTTATAATACGATACGATACTTCATTAGTAATCCAAACTGAACATGTTACAGCAGCAAAAACACAGACTCGCACACAAACCAATGAAATCAAACAAAATACACACAAAAGATAGCGGTAACACTTTACAATAAGGTTCATTAGTTAACTACATTAGTTACCATGAACTAATAATGAACTTCATTTCTACAGCATTCAGTAATCTAATACATCATTAAAATGCGCCATGTGTCCGGCTATTCATATTACTAAACCATGCCTAAAACATTCAAATCTAAGAATATGTCTTCTATGTGTTTCAATTATCAGAATATCAGTGAAATACTATTATAGTTGTTATTAATATTTTAACTAGCTTAGTTTTCTATGTTGTATTTTATTTTATTTCAGTTTTATTTCATTTCAAGTTATGGAAATGTTTTTTTTTTATGTTTGTTGTTTCAGGTTTAGTTAACAGGAATATTCCTGCTTGGCAAATAATCTTTTCTTGTTTTAAGCATAAATCTAATACATTTTAGTGAAGTTGAAAACAAGAAAAACTCTTTGCTCAGTGTTTCTTCTCTTTAGATGCTTCACTGGAAAACACAACACACATATTGAGTTATTAGAAAATCATTTTTATGCAGTGAAGTAAAATAATATTAACAACAAAACATTTGCCAGAGGAATAAATAATATATTGTTGCAATAATAAATCAAGATTTATGAAAGCTTGTTTCCACCACATAATCAAAAAAAGGCAATTGCAAGTTTATTTGCAATTCTGAGAAAAAAAGTCAATCAAGACAAGCTTGCAATTGTTTGGGAAACAAGCTTCTATAATATTAAAAAATATGAAATATAAGACAAATATCACATTCATCACTGCCTTCTGTTTATTTCAGGATGAAAACATGATCAGTTTTATTAAAGGAGGAATCAAAGTACGCACAAGTTATCAAATTTACAAGTGAGTCTGAAATCAACAATTAATGGATGGTTGTTGCCTGAATTAAAAATATGATTTAATATACTGCATGAAAGCTGTACAAATATTATATTTGTATTATTAAAAAAAATCAATTATTGCATATAAGCAACTGTTATATATTATTATATTTTACTATAATATATTATATAATATAAAATTCAATTCACGTTTATTTGTATAGCGCTTTTCACAGTACAAATCGTTTCAAAGCAGCTTTACAGAAGTGCATATGTCTGAGTTATGATTTCAGAAATGTACACAGTTAGCGAAAAATGTATTAATTTAAACAATGTAATAATTTAAGGCAGAAACAGTGAGCTCATTGAAGTAATGCATACTTGTTTGTTAAATGATTGACATTTATCTAATAATATTTAATAACATTTAAAATAATAGAATTTATACTAATATATGGTAATTTAATATAATAATTGATATTATATTATTTTTTTGTGAACAACTGTTTTCAATAAATAATCATTTTAGTGCAAATCGAGATAAAATACATTAGAGCATATACATCTTGTGTGTGTGTGTGTGTGTGTGTTTAGGGACTGCCAGAGTGTGTCGAACATGCCTCAGGGAGTGGGCGGAGACCGCGAGGCCTTCAGACAGTTTGAGGGCGGAGTCAAGCTGGGGATTGGCTCCTTCAACCTGGTCAGTTCATGGGACAGGAAGTGCAGAAATTACCCTGTCATTGTGCATGTGGATAAACTAGTAAATCTCCCCTTGAAGTGATGCTTGAACTCTGACCTGTGTGTGTCAGATGCTGTCTTTACTGCCGGCACGAATCCTTCGACTGCTGGAGTTCATCGGCTTCTCAGGGAACCGAGTGAGTAACTAGAGGAGAAAGAAATGAAGCTTTCCGGAGCACTTGAAACTTCACATGTTAAACCAAATACAAATGTTTTATTGAAGATGTAGTCTAGTCTAGAGGTCGACCGAGATGGGTTGTTCTCTGGCCGATGCCGATATTTAGAAATCAAGGCGGGCGATTTTTTTTTTTTTTTTTTTTTTTTTGGCCGGTTTTCAGCTCATAAAATCTAACCATTAATAAGTAGTGAAACAGAAAATTGCTTAAATTAAACATTTATTGAACAACACAAGCCTCTCCAATCAGTGCACTTGTAATCTTATCGTTCCTGGGAATCTGTTTAGTTTAGCGGAGATTGACTCCTGACAGCAAAATGCAAATATTTGCACGAGTTTCTAACATTTACAGATGAAGAATAGTGAAATGTAAGTTATGCACTGAGGAAAGCACCACATCTCAAACACGTTAAACAGCGCCAGTATCTGTCAGTCAGTCATGTTTTAATATAAAGCTTGTCCCATGTTTATAAACAACAGTATTGTCTCATTCCATATTGTTTATTAAAAACATATTGATATAGCGTACAAACTCAATATGGCTCTAGTGTCTAAGGAAGAGTTTACTATCCGCTCGCTGTGAGACGCGGCAATCTGGGTGTGTGTTGCTCACTAATCGGTCGACCTCTACTGTAATACACACACACACACACACACACACTAACGGGTGCTGTTTCCCTCCTGCAGGAGTTCGGTCTGTCTCAGCTGCGGGACGGCGCCGCTGGTCACAGTCTCAGATCGATCCTGTGTGTGCTGACGCTGCTCTTCTACAACACTTACGTCTCTCTGATACTCGGTAACCAACGCTGAAACACACTTTTGGTTACAGAGGAAAACTGGGCTTCAGATGGGATCTAAAATCAGCTATATATATATTTATATTCACTATGTTTCCAAAAGTTTTTGTTTGGTGGAGGGGGGGTTATGGTGTGGGGTTGTTTTCAGGGCTTGGCCCTTTAGTTCCAGTGAAAGGAACTCTTAATGCACATTTTGGACCGTTTCATGCTCCCTCCCAACAGTTTAGTGACGTTCCTGTCCCAGCATGACTGCGCTCCAGTGCCAAAGCAGGTCCATAAACACATGGATGAGGAGTTTGGTGTGAGAGAACCCAAGACCTTTTGGCAATATAGTGTATATATCAGTGTGTTTTATTAATATTTTGAATTAGCTTTTTTATATAAATTTTTATATGGTTAATTTTAGTCAAATTTTTAGTAATTTCATTGTGCTTTTGTCAGTTTATGTATTTTTTAATTGCTATTTAAGTTTCATGTATTTATATTTCAGTTCTAGTTTTAGTTAGTTTTTATTTATTTCCAGTTAATAATTTTAGTGCTTCAACTTAAACTTATTTCAGTTTATTGGCAAGTCAACATTTCAATTTTTTGTTTTGTTTTTTGTTTTTCATTAAATATTTTATTTAATTTCATCTTAATTTTAATTGAATTTAAACACACTCTCTCTTATTTTGACAATAATAACCCTGATTTATATATATTTGAAATGTCTGTATAGTTATTATTGTTTATTTCAGTGTATTATTCAGAAATAATATAACAGTACAACTGTAAAATTACAATACTAATAATTTGTTTTTAGTATTGTCTTAATTTCTTCAATTTCAAACAATTAACAAGCTTTTATTTATTTATTTTAGATATTTTGTTATAATGAATTTTTTATTTCACTTTTAGTTTTATTAGTACATCAAGTTAAACTAAGTGAAAATGAGAAATGATGCAATGGCGAGTTTTTTTAATAATATATTCATTTCAGTTGAATATATATAATAATATATAAATAATATATTTCATATTTATTTACTTTCGACGCTTCCAGTCTGAAAATCGGGGCAAAAATCATGTGTTGTATATACCAGACTTCACTTGAATCTTGAATCTGCCGTGTTTGTGTTTATTGTGAAGTTGTCCTGTTCGTGCAGCTGCTGTTTGTGTCGTAATACTGAGTGTTTATTGTGTGTTTCAGGCACTGGGGAGGGAAACCTGGTGGAGGCCGAAGCTCTGCTGGAGCCGTACATAGAGAGATTTCCTCGAGTGAGAACCTCAACACACACACACAGATGCGTGCAGGGCTCCCTGTTTTGTGGCGGCTTTGATACATTTAACAAAATATGATGCAAATATGATGCTTGGAGCCCCGGACAATCGCACAGAGACTCACAAACACACACACACACACACACGCACACAGACACACACGCACTCTCTCACTCATACTCACACACTCACTCACTGACACACACACACACACACTCACTCAATCCCACACACACTCACTTTCCTCAATGCACTGCAAGCTCACACTCAGCCCCGCCTAGATATTTGAAAGCCATGCCCACATCTGAACATCCAATTAGTCTCAGCCTCAGATGTCACGCCCACGGAACGCTGGCTAAACGTCTGATGCATATGGTACACTTAACTGGAAACACTTCAGGAATGTCGAAGTCGTCATCTGATTGGTTGAATTTTATCGGATTTCCGGGGGGCGCGAGTGTCGCGTTTATTTTCGGTCCGCCGGGAAACAAAGCGCAGACGTGTGATTGCGGAAGAAAAACTGTTGTGTTTACATGAGTGACAATGAGCATTTATCAAGATCAGCTTAACGTAGGATTCTCAAAAGTATGCGCGGTTCACGGCATAGACTCTTGAAGTTTTCTTCTCCTTCTTTGATTTTCTATGCTGACTGACTTGTTGCACGCCGGTCTGTTGTTGTGGGGACATTTCCACGCCCCGAAACGTGACTCTGAACGAAACGAACTGTATTTGGGTGTTTGACATGTCGGTCAAACGGCCTTATGGGCGCGCCTTGGCCAAAGAAAGCTGCTATGAATTCCAAACCTTCAGTTACAATAATCCGTTACTGTTTCAATAATCCGTTACTGTTTCAGTTTCAATAATCCGTTACTGTTACAATAATCCGTTACTGTTACAATAATCCGTTACTGTTTCAATAATCCGTTACTGTTTCAGTTTCAATAATCCGTTACTGTTACAATAATCCGTTACTGTTACAATAATCCGTTACTGTTTCAATAATCCGTTACTGTTTCAATAATCCGTTACTGTGTTTCAATAATCCGTTACTGTTTCAATAATCCGTTACTGTTTCAATAATCCGTTACTGTTACAATAATCCGTTACTGTGTTACAATAATCCGTTACTGTTTCAATAATCCGTTACTGTGTTACAATAATCTGTTACTCTGTTTCAATAATCCGTTACTGTTACAATAATCCGTTACTGTGTTACAATAATCCGTTACTGTTTCAATAATCCGTTACTGTTACAATAATCCGTTACTGTTTCAATAATCCGTTACTGTTACAATAATCCGTTACTGTTACAATAATCCGTTACTGTTACAATAATCCGTTACTGTTTCAATAATCCGTTACTGTGTTACAATAATCCGTTACTGTTTCAATAATCCGTTACTGTTACAATAATCCGTTACTGTTACAATAATCCGTTACTGTTACAATAATCCGTTACTGTTTCAATAATCCGTTACTGTTACAATAATCCGTTACTGTTACAATAATCCGTTACTGTTTCAATAATCCGTTACTGTGTTACAATAATCCGTTACTGTTTCAATAATCCGTTACTGTTACAATAATCCGTTACTGTTACAATAATCCGTTACTGTTACAATAATCCGTTACTGTTTCAATAATCCGTTACTGTTACAATAATCCGTTACTGTGTTACAATAATCCGTTACTGTTTCAATAATCCGTTACTGTTACAATAATCCGTTACTGTTTCAATAATCCGTTACTGTTACAATAATCCGTTACTGTTACAATAATCCGTTACTGTTTCAATAATCCGTTACTGTGTTACAATAATCCGTTACTGTTTCAATAATCCGTTACTGTTACAATAATCCGTTACTGTTACAATAATCCGTTACTGTTACAATAATCCGTTACTGTTTCAATAATCCGTTACTGTTTCAATAATCCGTTACTGTTTCAATAATCCGTTACTGTTACAATAATCCGTTACTGTTACAATAATCCGTTACTGTTACAATAATCCGTTACTGTTTCAATAATCCGTTACTGTTTCAATAATCCGTTACTGTTTCAATAATCCGTTACTGTTACAATAATCCGTTACTGTTACAATAATCCGTTACTGTGTTACAATAATCCGTTACTTCAATAATCCGTTACTGTGTTACAATAATCTGTTACTCTGTTTCAATAATCCGTTACTGTTACAATAATCCGTTACTGTGTTACAATAATCCGTTACTGTTACAATAATCCGTTACTGTTTCAATAATCCGTTACTGTTACAATAATCCGTTACTCTGTTTCAATAATCCGTTACTGTTTCAATAATCCGTTACTGTGTTACAATAATCCGTTACTGTTACAATAATCCTTTACTGTTTCAATAATCCGTTACTGTGTTTCAGTAATCCGTTACTGTTACAATAATCCGTTACTGTGTTACAATAATCCGTTACTGTTTCAATAATCCGTTACTGTGTTACAATAATCCGTTACTGTTACAATAATCCGTTACTGTGTTACAATAATCTGTTACTCTGTTTCAGTAATCCGTTACTGTTTCAATAATCCGTTACTGTGTTACAATAATCTGTTACTCTGTTTCAGTAATCCGTTACTGTTACAATAATCTGTTACTGTGTTACAATAATCTGTTACTCTGTTTCAGTAATCCGTTACTGTTTCAATAATCCGTTACTCTGTTTCAGTAATCCGTTACTGTTACAATAATCTGTTACTGTGTTACAATAATCTGTTACTCTGTTTCAGTAATCCGTTACTGTTTCAATAATCCGTTACTCTGTTTCAGTAATCCGTTACTGTTACAATAATCTGTTACTGTGTTACAATAATCTGTTACAATAATCCGTTACTGTTACAATAATCCGTTACTGTGTTACAATAATCTGTTACTCTGTTTCAGTAATCCGTTACTGTTTCAATAATCCGTTACTCTGTTTCAGTAATCCGTTACTGTTACAATAATCTGTTACTGTGTTACAATAATCCGTTACTGTGTTTCAGTAATCCGTTACTGTTACAATAATCCGTTACTGTTACAATAATCCGTTACTGTGTTACAATAATCCGTTACTGTTTCAATAATCCGTTACTGTGTTACAATAATCCGTTACTGTTACAATAATCCGTTACTGTGTTACAATAATCCGTTACTGTTTCAATAATCCGTTACTGTGTTACAATAATCCGTTACTGTTACAATAATCCGTTACTGTGTTACAATAATCTGTTACTGTGTTACAATAATCTGTTACTCTGTTACAATAATCCGTTACTGTTACAATAATCCGTTACTGTGTTACAATAATCTGTTACTCTGTTTCAGTAATCCGTTACTGTTTCAATAATCCGTTACTGTGTTACAATAATCCGTTACTGTGTTACAATAATCTGTTACTCTGTTACAATAATCCGTTACTGTTACAATAATCCGTTACTGTGTTACAATAATCCGTTACTCTGTTTCAGTAATCCGTTACTGTTACAATAATCTGTTACTGTGTTACAATAATCCGTTACTCTCTTTAGGCCGTCACGTTAGGCCAGCGGTCCGCGAGCTGCTTAAAAGGTAGTCCGTGATAGGAGGTCAGCGGAACGCTGCGCGCCGCCCCCTAGATGATTTTTCGGGGGCCGGCCGACCGCGCCCGGCCGCAGGGGGGGACCGACGGGGCGGGCCAGAGGCGTCGCCTCGGGCCGGGGGGCCTCGGGGGCCCCGCGGGAGCCCGACGAAATTCGGCCCCCTCGCTCGCAATACGGGCATCGGCCACAGGGGGGCGACTCGCCGACCGCCTGCAGTCGTTTCGACGCGCGCCGAACAGGTTGCAGGCGGGCGCCCACGGAGCGCACGCGCCTACCCCTGACCGCCTTTTCGGGAAATTCCCTGACCACACCCACCGTCCACTGAGCGCCCTTTCGTCCCAAAGACAGCCTGTGACCGCCCCCTGACCACGCCCACTGACACAAACAGCCTATTCGTCCCCCTGACCGCCTTTGTGACAGCAAACGGCCTGTTCGCCCACGGGCAATCTAAGAGACGGCCCGGGGCCCCGCCCACTGACACGAACAGCTCATTCGTCCCCCTGACCGCCTGTGTGACAGCGAACGGCCTGTTCGCCCACGGGCAATCTAAGAGACGGCCCGGGGCCCCGCCCACTGACACGAACAGCTCATTCGTCCCCCTGACCACCTGTGTGACAACGAACGGCCTGTTCGCCCACGGGCAATCTAAGAGACGGCCCGGGGCCCCGCCCACTGACACAAACAGCTCATTCGTCCCCCTGACCGCCTGTGTGACAGCGAACGGCCTGTTCGCCCACGGGCAATCTAAGAGACGGCCCGGGGCCCCGCCCACTGACACGAACAGCTCATTCGTCCCCCTGACCGCCTGTGTGACAGCGAACGGCCTGTTCGCCCACGGGCAATCTAAGAGACGGCCCGGGGCCCCGCCCACTGACACAAACAGCCTATTCGTCCCCCTGACCGCCTGTGTGACAGCGAACGGCCTGTTCGCCCACGGGCAATCTAAGAGACGGCCCGGGGCCCAGCCCACTGACACGAACAGCTCATTCGTCCCCCTGACCTCCTGTGTGACAGCGAACGGCCTGTTGGCCAACGGGCAATCTAAGAGACGGCCCGGGGCCCCACCCACTGACACGAACAGCTCATTCGTCCCCCTGACCACCTGTGTGACAACGAACGGCCTGTTCGTCCACCACCACCACCACCGGGTGTATCTCGGGAACCAAGCCGAGTTGGAGCTCCAAACTCCGGGCCAGAGTATGGAGCCCCAAGTCGGCTTAGCTCCCGAGATACATCCGGTCAAATTCGGCATCCCACCTGTAGCTTGATAAGTTACACACTGGCCTTCAGCACATATGCTGAAATCCCCAATTCCTTACAGGGATTCACCGGCTGAAAATGTCTAACACTATGCACAATTATTGGCTGTAATGTACATGAGTGTGTTGTGGTGTGTCCCCTGAGTT